GGAAAGGACGAAGCAGGAGCATGGAACTCTAATACCTGCGGGAACTAGGTAACGGGCATATGAGTGTTCATTGTATTATTCTCTGCGCTTTCACGTTTGCAAAGTTCCATAATATAAAAATTTAAAAATATATACTACGTGCTGGCATAAGTTATGAGAAATTTGAATAGTATCATAAAAGAAAGCTATGAAAACATGGATGATATAAATGTCCTCCATGTTGTCAAGGATGAAAAAAAAAACCATACTGAGATCTTATTTAGGAGATGGTATTTAAGGGTCAGCAGGTGGCACGGAGTTAGTTCAAGTGGCTGAATCCTACACAGCCAACTGACGGTTTGAGTCCTGGACCCAGAGGCTTAAAAATCATGCCAAGCACGTGTGTGTACACACTCAAAATCCCAAGAGGAGAGTGGAGGAGAGGCGACTGCAGGTGGCCATCCCCATAGTGGGTGCTTTCTCACGTTCCCCCCCGCCCCTCTCTCTCTCTCTCTCGCCTAGCACACATGCCTTCTGGCATTTTTTTTAAAAAGCAGCTTGCACAGAGTAAAAGCAATCAATCAAAAGAAGTTTTAAAAGGTTTGGCATAAGACAGATGCGTCCATTACGAAACAGGTGAGAAGACGCACTTATGAAAGAACAGAATATATACTTTCTCACCTGTTCCTCTTCTAAAATTAGAAATATAAATTCCCCTCTGAGATCAAAATAAAGAGACTATTTCCCATCTTTTATTTTTTAGATTAAAATTTTTAAATTTAGGGACTAGCAGATGGCGTAATGGCTACGTCGCTGGACTCCCACGTAGTCGACCATGGTTTGAGTCCCAGACCTAGTGGCTTAAACTCACGCCGGGCACATGTACGTGTGTGCCCAGGATCCTGAGAGGAGAATGGAAGAGAAGGGATTGTGGCATGGCCATCCCCCCTGGGGGGTGATCTCTCACTTTCTGTATCTCTGTCTCTCTCTCTTTCTGGTGAGCACACGCACCCAATAGCAGAAACCTCTCCGAAATAAATAAATAAAAAAATAATTTAAAAATGGGCCCCAAGAGAACATTTTTTAAGACCAAAACCCTCCATAATGTATCTTTCTACACACTCAATTCTCAAATATACTCTAACAGCCTTCATTCAGAGATGGTCAAAATAATTACTTACCATCCAAAGCAAAAGAGGGCAAGATAAAGGCCCAGCAGGGTGGCGACCACGTGTCTTATAAAAGAGCTGGTTTCGCTGGAGTGCAGGTAGGTCCGAAAGCACACGGCTGCGAGCAAGGCGAAGAGCTGGCACACTACGAAGTTGACCTGTAACGCAAAATGGAGACTTTGTATCAGCAACGCAGACTTGGATTTGCCGCTCAGTGCTTCACTGAACTTTCAGAGTAAAAACGCCAAGGTTATATAAAATCAGGATCTTCTCGAAAAACGACAGCCAGGGGCCTTCCAGGATGAGCCCAAGCTCAGCGACTGGCTGGCAGGTATGTCTGCCCACACCTTGCGGAGCACCACGGGGCTGCGGAGGGGCCCTGGAAGAACCAGAGGTCGGGGCTGCAGAAGCAGACAGAAAGCCCGGTACCTATAGGTTTAGGGGATGAGAGACCGTAACCAGTGGGGTGCCTGCAGCTGGTGAAAAGAGGAGCTTCCTGCAAGCGCTCTGAGAGGCAGTCAGGCTCCCCCAGATCCCCAAGGCCATGAGAGCTGCAGGGCTGGAGGGTCTGGTGGGACGGGGCTTTGGGCAAGGGCAGGAAGAAAGCTCGCTGTGGTGTGACCTCAGCCCCGAGGGGTCCAAGAATAGGACCCTGGGGAAAGGGATGAATGGTGACAGGGAGCAGTCTCCAGAAACCACGAGGGGAAGCCCTTCCCCAAGTCCATGGTGTCCTGTCCGCCAGGGGCCACTACACTGCCTTCATGTGCGCACGTGCGACGGGGCTGGCAGGAGTGCCGCTGCTCTGTCCTCTGCGTGGGAAGTGACGACCGGGCTCTGGCACAGCACTGACGCCTCAGGAAAGGTGCCAGCTCACGGGCAGCAATGCCGAGAAAGATGTCATAACATCCATACTAACGACCGCCTGTCCCTTGTCTGCAATACCAGGAGAAGGACAGCAGACACGGTCTGCGACATGGAGACCACTGTCCGCTGCAGCACACGCGGCACAAGCGCATGTCCTTCCCACGTTTCTAGCACTCGTTCCCGACAGCTCAAACAGCATTTTTGAAAACTGAGCAAAAGGCAAATGCATCCAAAAATTAGTATTCTTGATATTAAAAGCTATTCACATCTACACAGCTCCTTAGAGTTGAAAAACTTTCCCTCAAATGTCTTTTTTTTTGGAGAGGTTTTTGCCATAGGGCGCATGCACTCACCAGACAGACAGAGACATAGAGACAGAAAGCGAGCAATCACCCCCCAGGGGGGATGGTCACGCCGCAATCCCTTCTCCTCCATTCTCCTCTCGGGATCTTGAGCACGCACACGCACCCGGCGTGAGTTTAAGCCACCGGGTCCAAGACTCGAACCGCGGTCATCTACATGGGAGTCCAGAGACATAGCCATTACGCTAACTGCTGATCCCACCTCAAATGTCTCTTAATTAACATGTTTGTAGCACACCACCATGGCAAAGCACAGGGAAGAGAAGGAAGCCTCCCCCACTAACCGAAACCAAGCGCCATCGGGCCCCTTCAGGGCCAAGCACAACTCAGGACTCCCAGGGCTCTGGAGGTCCAGGACCTGCACTGATAACCCATTTCAAAGGAAACAGGTTTTCTCTCTTGTCAGCCTCCTACATAACTAGGCCATTTCTGCTCAACTGCAGCCACCTGTTCAGGCCCCCTTCCACTGCGTTGGAAGCTTTTGAAGGTTTTCCTCCCTTAATAAACTCCACATGCTTTTCTTTCTTTCTTTCTTTCTTTTTTTAAAGCACAGGAAATCCAAAAATCCTAAGTCCCAGGGCCAGCCTGGTACATCAGAATCTAATGGAGAAAATAAACACATACGAAAGGCACTTAAGCTCATTATTAGAGAGTCTTTTTAAAGGCTATAAAGACAGCATGATAACATAACAAAGGAAAGACCCTTGAAGGGACAAATGTCTCAGAGCAGGTGACACAAGTACCAGGCCAGAGCAGCGTGCTGAACCCCAGCTGATCTCCACAACCTCCTGGGAGCTTCTCTCCCTGCTTCCCTCCCTCTCCATCCATACTTGTGTATACACACACACAAACACACACTTACATGTGCACATACACATACACACACACATGCTCACACACACACGCATGCACATACACACAAAATGAAACATGTCATTGTCATAGAGGCGTTCTAGCATCAATGAGATACAGCATTTCATAGAATCTATGTAATCATCTATTTTAACATTTCCTATAAAGAAAGTAAGACCAGGCCTCATTCTAGACACTGACTCAAAATCTTAGTGAGAAGGGAGAGAGAAAGCCTATATTTATTTTTAAAGAATCATTTATTTTTATTATATATATTTATATGTGATATATATTAATTATATACAAATACATATGTTAACATAAAATTACATATATTAT